ATCAATGCCTACTAATGTCTAAGTAATACCCAAGTAATGCTCAAGTAATATTCAAAATTTGTACACCGTAATGTCTCCTCAGCAGTTTATTCCTCATATTTATGTTTCTCAGCAGCGTATACTGAACATTTAAAGATCATACTTGTACTCTCAAAAATCAATCATGATTGTATAAGGTAGTTATAAACATGTTACTGCAAGATATTATTTTATATTATCTTAAAAATGATGAAATAGTTTTGTTCTACTCTATATATTTTTAGTATTTTAATATTTTATTGTATTGATACTTTATTAAATATAAAATATTTAATAAAACATTTTAAATAAAGATTATTATATTAATAATTTTTTAGAACAGTTATAATTTTGTTTTATAGTGTTTTTGAATATTGTTCAGCACACATTGATGCATAGATTATAATAGATTAACTAAATTCATCCATTCTTAAAATTTTTATTTGTATTTTCTTCATGTTTAGAAATCAAATTGCTAAATCGGTTTCTGTTGTCGCGATTGCATTGCCACAAATTTAAAGATCTCCTAAATCGTTGTCGTTTAGAGATACACATATAGATACACGCAAGAAAAGCATGTATAGCAAGAGAATTGTAATTTAATTTATTATTTTAAAATTAACGATGACAACCGAGATAAATACACGCGAAATAATATTTACCAAAAATAGAAATTGCGAGAAAGACGCAACGGACGAGAAGCGAGCGAGAGATGCGAGACATACAGTTAATCAGCTGACGCGTAGACAAACAGTCATTTTCGGGGAATTGTCTAGCGTATTCGGAGAATATGTATATCTTTCCGTGAAAATTCGACTAATTGTAAGTGATATCGCGACCAAATTATAAACGTAATTGTAACCGAGCGATTATAATCTAGTACATTTCCTTTCTCACGCCCTTGTAAATGCACTTTTAATATATTGACGAATTACAATTTATTTCTTTTCATATTTTTATTTTCTATTTTCTGTAGTATTCTTCAGCTGGATACGAATCCGTTTTTTAAATTGTTCCATCATATTACATTTTAAGAAATTGACAATTAAAGTTACAAGAAAGAGTTATTTTTAGATATTTTGTATATTATACTATATAACTATGATATGTGATGTGTGTGTTGGAACAATTTCAAAAATCGGATTCATAATCAGCGTTCTAAATTATGTTCAGATGCACACACGTATGTACGTATGTATGTATGTATATACATACGTACATACATATATATGTATACATATATACGGTGTCCGATAAATTTCGACAACTGCTTTTGTATCAATAAAACAGACTAAATTGAGTAAAAAAGACTTCTACCATTTTGTAATTTTTACATTTTTTGTTACCCACTATGTACAATGTCTATATAAGCGATGCATACACCAATTTTAAGGTATCTTAGAGAGTTTTTCAAGAAACATGTTTAAGATTATAAACACCCTTCAAGGAAATCTTAATATTGTCTTATGTATGCAATGTTAGTCACATATTTAGCTATCTTCAAAAATTAATATTTTATTAATTGTTGCAAAAATTTTTAAATGATACAGGATTTTTTTATTTAGTTTAGTCCGCTCTATCTGTGCATGAAATGTTTTGCAGCTATTTGGGACATCGTATGCGTGTGCATGTGCGCGCGTATGTGTATACATACATATTTTTTTACATTTATTGCTATTTGTTAATATAGCCTGAGCATTATGTTTCTCATTTACTTGGACATAAAGGAAAAGGCTCATTATTATCGGCTTTGAAATCCAAGGGATGGTGTAATTCCCTAGTATCCGAAAAACGTCTTGTCGTTGGTGTGAGTAACGCATCAACGTATTTAGATTACACCACCTATTACTTCGACGTAATTCCGGAAAAGTTAGAAGGCGCTTTAGATCGTTTTGCTCAATTTTTCATAGCGCCACTATTCACAGAAAACTTGATCGAGCTGGAGATAAATGCCATAAATTCAGAGCACGAAGAAAATGTAGCAAATGATGACAGGCGATGTCATTATTTGGACAGATCATCTGCGATAGGTCATCCATTTTCGAAATTTGGAACAGGAAATAGGGAAACATTAGATGTAATACCGAAACAAAAGGGTATTAATGTTCGAAATCAGCTATTAGAGTTTTATGAAAAATATTATTCTGCAAATATTATGTCACTGTCTATTATTAGCAAAGGTATAACGATAATTTATTGAATCTATTTATGATTAGAACATCTGAAAATATTTATATATGTATAATATTAACAAATAAATTTTAGAGAGTTTAGACGAACTCGAAAATATGGTAGTGGATCTGTTTTGTGAGGTGCGAAACAAGGAAATTGAAGTTCCAACATGGCCTGAACATCCATTCAAAGATGAACATTTCCGCACTATATGGTATATTGTTCCGATAAAGGATATAAGAAATTTAAGCATTTCGTTTCCTTTACCAGACATGCGTCAACACTACCGATCTGCGGTAATATATAACATATGTATATTGATCTTTTGGCTTTAATACTTTAAATGAATATTATATCTTAGTTTTTTTTTTGTAATTACAAAAGAAAATATAAAAACTAGATTATTTTCTGTAGTATTCTTCAGCTGGATACGAATCCGTTTTTTAAATTGTTCCATCATATTACATTTTAAGAAATTGACAATTAAAGTTACAAGAAAGAGTTATTTTTAGATATTTTGTATATTATACTATATAACTATGATATGTGATGTGTGTGTTGGAACAATTTCAAAAATCGGATTCATAATCAGCGTTCTAAATTATGTTCAGATGCACACACGTATGTACGTATGTATGTATGTATATACATACGTACATACATATATATGTATACATATATACGGTGTCCGATAAATTTCGACAACTGCTTTTGTATCAATAAAACAGACTAAATTGAGTAAAAAAGACTTCTACCATTTTGTAATTTTTACATTTTTTGTTACCCACTATGTACAATGTCTATATAAGCGATGCATACACCAATTTTAAGGTATCTTAGAGAGTTTTTCAAGAAACATGTTTAAGATTATAAACACCCTTCAAGGAAATCTTAATATTGTCTTATGTATGCAATGTTAGTCACATATTTAGCTATCTTCAAAAATTAATATTTTATTAATTGTTGCAAAAATTTTTAAATGATACAGGATTTTTTTATTTAGTTTAGTCCGCTCTATCTGTGCATGAAATGTTTTGCAGCTATTTGGGACATCGTATGCGTGTGCATGTGCGCGCGTATGTGTATACATACATATTTTTTTACATTTATTGCTATTTGTTAATATAGCCTGAGCATTATGTTTCTCATTTACTTGGACATAAAGGAAAAGGCTCATTATTATCGGCTTTGAAATCCAAGGGATGGTGTAATTCCCTAGTATCCGAAAAACGTCTTGTCGTCAGAGGCTTCAGTATTTTAATTATTAGTATTGATTTAACCGAAGAAGGTATTAAGCATATCGAAGATGTTGTTCTACGGGTATTTCAGTATATTAATATGCTTAAGTTGAAAGGACCAATCAAATGGATCTACGATGTAATTGACGAAATAAATTATAATTTTATGTAGACTGTTCAGAAAATTATGCTATCATAATTTATCAGACATTTTGTGCTTCAATATCGTATATTAAATATAAAATAACATATATTTTGTACATTTGCAGGAATATAGAGATATTGCGAATATGGAATTTCGTTTTGAAGAAGGGCTTAATCCTTATAATTATGTGTGTTTTACGGTTCAAGCGTTGCAACAATTTCCCATGAACGAAATTTTGTGTGCGGAATGTATTTATCCTGAATGGCGACCGGACTTGATTGAAGAAATAATGACATATTTAACACCACAAAATGTTAGGATTCACGTGGTTGCAAAAGCATATGAAGATATAGCGGATGAAACTGAAAGGTGGTATGGTACTAAATATAAGAAAATGAAAATATCCAAGAAAACAATGGAAATGTGGAGCTCCGCTGCCTTTAACGATGACCTGAAATTGCCTCCCAAGAATAAATTTATAGCAACTACATATGATATCAAGCCAGAAACTAATGTAATTAAAATTATCATTTTTTTATAATATTAATTCTTGATCACATTGTGATATTCAAAGCAAAATATCGATGGAGCGTAAACTATACCGTAAAGTTTGATATGAAATAGAATTTAATTAAATGTTAGAATAGCTTAAAAAGATTGTGTCTCCTTTATACATGTATATAGTTTTTATGTAGTGATAGTAATTATGTGTAAAAAGTGTTTGTGAATGTATATTTCTGTATTATTATAACTTTACAAAAATATATGCTGAGGTTTAAAGATTGGTAAGTTTGCACAACAGATAGCTAACAGATTGTAATCGAAATAAGAAGAGTGCAATGCAATAATTTTGACTTTGACTTGTTTTTGCACATGAAATTGTCTTTTGTCCTACTGTATTTGATCTTATGTATATGCATGTTTGCATGTCATCGTATGTTTTACCAGGTATAAATTTTACAGATAGAAAAGTTTCCTATTATTTTGGAGGACACATCATTTGTTAGACTTTGGTATAAAAGAGATAATGATTTTCTTGCGCCTATAGCAAACATGATTTTCAATTTTTTCAGGTATGTATTAAGTGATTGTATGAGATACAAAATATGGATCAGTAGATCAGGCTGTTGAGGGTCAAACGTGATTCTTATTACGTAATTGTCTATTTATTCATAAAAATCTTGAATGTTTCGACCCACTTTGGAGTCATCTTCAGCATACATAATCTCTATACATCTTTGAAATTACGTAATAAGAACCACGTTTGACTCTCAATAGCCTGATCCACTGATCCATATTTTTGGTTTTTGGAAAATAATAGAGTTCGTAAGAAGATTACACTTGGATTTGTATGAGATACGTTGCTGCTATAATTGAATAATGTAATACTGTGTAAAGCCCGATCTACAATTGCGTAAATGTAGTTGTAAAAATTGACCAATTACAGTTGAATACGAGCAGAACATTCAACTGTGACTGGAAGATTCTTACAACTACGATCACTTCCAACTACGTTTATGCAATTGTAGATCAGGCTTAATACCGAATGTAATATTGTGTAATACCAAAATATTTTTAAATGAAATTTTGAAATATTCTGACAATTTAAACAATTTTAATTATTAATTTACATTATGATAAGATTATATATTAATGTGCATAGAAAATAATATTAATAAGTTGGTTATTCCTGAAATTACATATTAAAAAAAAATAAATTTAATTTTGCAATTATGATTCTTAAAATATTGTTATTTAAAGATGAGAATTAAATATAATCTTTTATAACAAAGAAATATTTTTTTGTGATTATATATAATATTTGTTTTTTTTCTAATTTATAGCCCATTTGCCTTTCTGGATCCCCTTAGTTACAATTTAAATCACATGTTTATTAAGCTGTTTCGTGATTCTCTTACCGAATATACATATGCTGCTGATTTAGCTGGTTTACAATGGAAACTTGATACTTCTCCATATGGAATAAAAGTGAGTACACATAATAACAAGTAATAAAATATAACGTATATTATTTAAATAAATTTGAATGTTTATTTGAATAAATTATTGTTCAATTTGTTATTAATATTAGTAACGTCTAAAACAAACATTATTTCACGCATATACATAAAATATTGCTTATTTAGAAATTGTTTATTTCTTATTTTTAATTATTCGTCATATGGTCAATTTTATTTCTATGTAATAATGTGTGTCAACTGTTTTATAAAAATACATTCGTAATTTAAAGAAAGATCAATTCTTTTTATAGCTCCTTATAAATGGTTATGACAATAAACAGCATGTACTGTTAGAAAAACTCATGGATCGAATGATAAATTTTAAGGTTGATCCAAAGAGATTTGAAATCCTAAAGGAAGAAGTATGTATAATAAATACAATCAATATTTTTAATTTTATTAAGCAGCATATTTATGTAGAATTATTATAGTTTATTAGAGACTTGAAAAACTTTGCTACTGAACAGCCTTTTCAACAAGCTGTTCATTATCTTGCAGCTCTATTAGCAGAGCAATCTTGGCTTGAGAAAGAATTACTGGAAGCTACTGCCTGTAAGCATAAAAGAGAACTTATATTTTTTGAAAAAATTATTTTCATTTTCTCTCTCTCTCTCTTTCTCACACACATACACAAACACACGTTTCTTTTAGTTAGTTTCATTTAGGACAATTACAGCACATATTAATGACATATAATTAATATTTCTATGATATATAGATTTAAGTGTTGAAGGACTACAGAAGTTTATACCACAGCTGTTCAGTAAGGTGCACGTGGAATGCTTAATATATGGTAACGTGACTATAACGGAAGCTACAGATATACGTAAATTAATTGAGTCTAAGTTAACAACTGGAGTGCCCAACATAATACCCTTGTTAGAAAAGCAATTGTTATTATCCCGTGAAATTAAACTAGAAGATGGTAAGGATCCTCCAGACTGAGGGGTTGGATATTAGACCAAAAACCTAATTTCGAAAAAATCTATTATTACGGATACCTCATAAGAGGTAGACCTTGTTCCATCTTAGAAAGTTGTGCCATTGAATGGAATAGAATATTTATGTTTTTTTACAGGTTGCCACTTTCTGTTCAAAGCAGAAAATAATTCACATAAAAATTCTTGTACAATGGTATATTATCAAACTGGTTTACAATCAACGGAGTCGAATATGCTCTTAGAACTCTTAGCACAAATCATTGAGGAACCATGCTTCAATACCTTAAGAACGAAAGAACAATTAGGCTACATAGTATTTAGTGAAAGACGTAGAACAAGTGGAACACAAGGCTTGCTAATCATTGTACAAAGTGATAAACATCCACAATATGTCGAAAAACGAATTAATTTATTTTTAGACTACATGTTGGTGAGTATAATATTTTTCATGATAAAAAATATTATATATTTGTGTTGGAAACAGTCCACTTTTTGTTAATCGTTTGTACCGAATTTTTTAACACATATTCAAGTATTAATTTAATATAATAGTTATATTATTTAAAAATTTTATATTAAATTGATATTTATTAGTGCCAAAACGACATAATTTATTATGAGTAAGTGAACAAGTAAAATAATAATATGTTTTAAAATGTAAGTTGTAAGATAAATGAATGAAATACGTAATTGAGCATATCATAAATATTAATTGTACTAAAAAAAATTCTTTTTACAAACTGTCAATATTACCTACCTTTTTCATGATTGTTTTTTCTATAGATAATATCTCTCTATGTTGTTCTCTAATATATTCATTTTATGTTAAATAAACACAAAAATTTAAGTAGACTATTTGGGACATGTAACATTTATTATATTCGACATAAATTTCCCAATAATGGACCATATTTAGAAAAATTAGCGCGCTAATATACTATAGCTATAAATAGTTTACGTTATGGATACTATAGAATTTTAGAAATAAAAGCATGCTTTTATGGATGAAAACACGTTCTGAATACGACTTAATGTATAATAATATACAGGATGTCATGTAAATTTTTTTTCCATTCCTTTTGTGTAGACAGAGCTGACTAAACTGTATCGAAAGTTTCTCTACCACTTTGCAATTTTCGCAATGGTTAACAAGATACGAATTTTTGAATATAGTGGACACAGTTTAGTCCGCTCTATCACAAATGCGATGGAAAAAACTTACGTAACACCCTGTATAGTATGTGAATGCATGAACATGGAACTACATTTTCTTTACATATTTATTATATAATATCTTATAATACTTTATAATCAAATATATTGCTCAATTTTTTGTGATAATACAAATATTTTTATTAAAGTTAAAATTACTAATAATTCCAGAATCACATATCTACCTTAACAGAAGAGCAATTTGAAAAATACAAGAAAACTATAGCTACATTACGTTTAGGAAAACCAAAAGGATTTAGTGGATGGTGTGACATATACTGGACTGAGATTAAAAACCAACGATATAACTTCGATCGAGTCAATATCGAAGAAGCTTACTTAAAGACGATATCACTGCAGCAGTTACTTAATTTCTTTAAGGTAATCAATTTACTCTTATATATAGAATATATCACTTAATGTTACTCTGAAAGGGAAATATTTTATCATAAAAAAGAAATAGAAAATGTACGATAACTTTTTTTTATATAAGATATAATTTTCGATAAAACTTCGATAATTGAAAAATTAATATATTATTAATACATCTGTCATATAAAATATATCTTTTAGGAAAATGTACATAGTAAAACTCGACGTAAATTGTCAATACATGTGATCTCTACAGCAACATCAACGGAAAACAATTCACCTGATAACACAACTGATAAAACTGCCGATTTATCAATTGATAAAGAAGTTAAGAAAATCGATGATATTATATCATTTAAAAATAGTCAATCTTTATATCCTCGACTTGAACCGCTTCAAAAATATTTTCTCAGGAAAGGTGTACGCTCTTCTAAATTATAAAAAAAGTAGTGATGAAGTAATAGTGAATAAGATGAATAAATTTACTTTTATGCATAATCTGAGAAAATATTGATGCATTATTTTAGAGAAATTAATAAAATTAATGTACTTAAGGTAATTCTTTAGTA